AGAACACAATGCTATTCATCCAGCGCTATGAAAACCCAAAGTACACAGAGGTCCAATGAGAACTTAGAGCAATGAATGATATAAATGTTCATCAAAATTCACAAACGGCCAGGCACACTCTACAGGTACTTATCAGTGACCTTATACTTTCTCCCTGAATTTCCTGTACCACAAGTTTTATGCTTCTTTGTCAGGAACATACTTAAAATCAAGGGCTGGGAAACCTTGACTTCAAAATGGAAAGGGAACAAACAGCACCTTTTGTTGGTGATGATGTCTTGGAAAAAATTGTCGACAGTTACATGCAGCTTATTGGAAATGTGGAGAAGCAAATGAAAATCATTAAACTTCAGGACTACAAAGTTAGTAGATTTTGTTATAATTCCCTTTATTTTGCATATAAAAGTGAGTGTGCGTGAATGTCAGTGTGTGCCCAGCAGCTACACTCCTAGGAGCATGTTAGGTCCCTCTACTTGAAAGCGGAGGAATTACCGTGAATCCACTGGAGTTTGGGATATATTTTGGTGTTGCGTCAGGTGTTTGTAGGCTGTAGTCAGCCACAGTTTAGGGAACATGCAGAAGTTGAGCTTCTGAGCTTCAGAGCTAATGAAATGAGGCGTTTAGGATGTGAAAGAAAATGAGTTCTATTAGGAAGAGCATAAAAAGCCCATGAAGTCTGACAGTCTTTCTTCCTAAGCAGGAAGGTGAGGAGGGAGGAAAGCTGTTGCAACAATATTGCAAGGTACGCAATTATTCCTAAAAGGGTTTTGCGGAGAACAGAAAAATCATGACTGAATAGTGTGTTAACGTGATGACAAATTGACAGTGTTGAAATTTTCTGGGAAACTGTCATGTTTGCTCAATCTTTCAATTCTAGATGAGGTTGCAGTTTTTGGAGCCCTGCAGTCATGTTCTCATTCTTTAAAAAAGGGTTTTAAAAAAGTGTGTGTGTGTGTGTGCGTGCGCATATGTTTGGTATGAGAAGGGGTGAAAAAGGAATGTCTCTGTTACTGGAAAGCAGCCCACCTGTCTCAGCTCCATCCCAGAAATAAACTTACTGCAATAGGAATATGGGGCTTCAGTGCTACGTGGAGCAACTGGAAAGCAGAGGTACTGCGAAGTCAAGTGATAGGGTGAACATCCAAGCAAAGAGGCAGTCATGACATGTGCTGCTTGGAGCATAAGTAGAAAAGAGCTTGTCCTTTCTGTAAGTGGTGTGATGGATACAGCCATCCAGACCAGTAGACCTGGCTCCTCAAGAAAGAGCTGAACAACGGAACGGCAACGCAGCCAGCACCATGAGCTCTTCCCTCCCTGCCTGTATTCCACCACTGCTGGTCTTAACCTAGCTGGGAGAGACCCTTTGTAGTGTGGTAGGCTGAGGCAGTTATTTTAAGCAATGTCAGCCCTGCTGTCAGCTCTCTCAGGGGTTAGCTTGCTTTCCTGTCTCCCTTCATCCTTGTTTTCAGAAAGAAATTGTGGATTTTGCGCTAGATGATGAAACGCCCCTAAAGGTTCTAGGAAAGTCAAAGTGTCATCAAGTCGAACCAAGACACCCAGCGTGTCAGTAAGCATGCTGGGTTTGCAAGGTGTGTGTGCTCGGGTGGGAGCAGAGTAATGCTTGACACACACAGTGTACCTCAACATGACTGCCTTGGCTACCCGAACGGGGACTTGGCTGCCCGAGAGGACGCGCAGTGCTGTTCATCTGAGGTGGTGCAATGTGGCCAGAGGTCCAGCCTGAGAAGAAGCACTAAGGCAAGACAGAGGTATGGAGACAAAGGGCTTTCCGAGGAAGGACAGGCTGGTCACAGTGCGGTCTGTGCATATCAGGCATTCTTACTGTTGACACTCTATGGACGATGGCTGTCAGGTATCCCACAGCTGTGCCACAAAATCAAAAAATAATTCCATTCCGGTTGCATTGCAAAGCCACAGGCAGTGCAGCTGTACAAACATGGATAAATAGCTGGACAACCACAACCAGGAGCTGGTGATGTTAAGTAAAACTGTTTTTAAGGCAACCAGTAAAAGGCAAGCTCATGAAACTGGAAAGAAACCCATGAACTAGTTTGTGTGTTTTGTGTCTGCACATGCTGTGGGACAGCTGGACAATGCAAGGCAGGGCTGGGATCCTAACTCAGTGTGGGGTATCGCTGGCAAAAAGGGCAGTTGCTGTGCACCTTGTGCAGCACATCAGTGGCATACAGCAGCATGCCAGGAAGACAAACAGGTTAAGGCAGATCTTCCTAGACCAGCACTTGTGTTTAGCAAAACCAGAGCTCAACCAGCCTCCATGGAGCCACTAAAGGAGGAACTGGGAAGCTTGCAAAGGGCGAGTATTGTGATATCAGTGAGGCTACCAAAAGCACAGGCAATGTAAAATCTGTATTGTTCTAATAGCTGAATTTGTGAAGCCTGTCTGTAGCACCAAGTAGGAAACGAACACTCAGATGACACCACATAAATGGGTCCCTTTCCTAGTCCTAGGAAGTACTTACAAGGATTTGGCTGAGATAGTGGGTAACCCAGAACTGATGTAATTGGCCTGGAAATTCCTGGGAAGGGAAGCTAATTCTCAGAAAAAGCACTTGTATGTCCCATTTCTGTCACACAGGCCTTGAAGAAGATGCTTGTTTACACTAAATTTCTGCTTCTTTAGGTGGAACAAAGGTCATGTTTTCATGACTGTCTGTACGATTGTCTGGTGTATATGAAAGAATTGTGGTGTACATGGCTGTAAGGCTCATACAATTAGCTTCTGTGGGACATCCAAAAAGTACGTAGTAAACCACAGTATATTTAGTGAGATCTGTGAGTTGGTTATGGCTGGACCAAATAAGAATGTCTCAAGTCCTGCAGTAAAAATTGCCTTTTTTTTCTGAGTGCAGATGGTTCAAAAAGAGCACTTTGAGACCTTTCTTCTTCAGTTACCTACTTTTTGGTGGTTTGCTGAAAGCTTGGTACCCCCTTGCAGGCTAAAAATCATATTTCATCACCAGGAAAATTGTAGCAAACTTCTCTAGCCTCTGACAGACTATGCCAAAACATGTATGAGTATAAGATGCAGGCTCTGCAGAGCTGGTCCCTGTGAGTAGGGCCTGAGCTCCCATCTGCACTCAGCTTCAGGGAAACAGGGACTTTACTGTGCCACCTCTATTTAGCCTGAGATGTATTAGTGGAAACTGCAGAACAAAGAGTCATACTGGTCACACTGCCTGAGCTGTGATACTTGAAGAAATGATGCTTGAAAGTGTGCCATGTCCAGTTCGTGGAAGATGGGTGCCTGAGGCGGAAAAAGCTTCAGGGTGCCTTACCTGCCTGGCACTGTAAGGGAGAAAGCAACAGATTCAATCCAAAGCACTGAAATAAATACACTTCATTATAACAAATCAGGTAACTAGCCATAATGTCTGAGACATTAAAGGCTTTTTCTTCATTTGTTCAGATGCAAAACTATGAGGAGTCCCTCTATTAAGAAAGAAAGGGGCTGACCTTGTGACTCAGGGAGGAGAAAACCAGCAGCTACATCTCTGTCCCAGGGAGAGAAAGATGTCATGTACATCACATTTGAGGAACTACAGTTTTTCATGTTTGTTTTAGGTAAACAGTCATTTTTATCCTATTTTTATGTTACAGCTCCAGGAAGTCTTGCATATCAGTTCAGAAAGTAGTCATATCAGCAGTTTTAGCTTGGGTTTTCAGCTTGTTCCAGGACATGTTCCCCAAAATCCAGCTTCCTTTAAAGTCCTTTGAGTAGGAGATAGTTTGTTGGGCCCAGTTTCTATCACCAGTCACAGGCCAGGGTGTGCAATGTGCAAAAGGTTGGGTTTAAATCATCTCTCTGAAAATGGACTCATATTCACTCCTTCACTCAGCAGAAATGTGTACCAAGATAATCTGTGATGCTGTGAAAATGAGAGCACCAGGCAGTGACCATCTGATCGCCAGTAGGTGGTAAAAGCTCATGTACCACTAAGTGCTGACGACTCTGGCTTGTTAACCTTTCATTTCGCCACGCACCTTCTCCATGGCCCTGGTCGATATAACTGCATCTGTAGCTGCACTGCAACTGGGCACAGTTTCTGGGTGGGTGACAGAAAATTGAGCTTTTGCAGGGAAATTCCTATCAGACTAAAGAGCAGGATGTTGGTTTTTTAACACCTCTTCTCCACAAATCTTCTGTTAAAACAGAAAAAAGCAGTAGAAGTGGCATCCCAAGTTTTCTGGTCTAAAAGGCTCAGACTGGTGAAGAAACTAGGGCTGGTTGTCTTCCTCACTCAGGTCACAAACTGACCTACTCAGAAGGTGAGCAGGGCTGCCCATAGTCTATTACTGCAGAAGTTGGTGGAAGGACTGAGTACTGTCAGCAGGAGAAGACACTAAGGAAATGGAATTGAGCATCAACATGTTGGTCTCTGCCTCATGCTCCTGCATGGTGTTAAGTGAGTCAGCACACTCACACCTGTGCTTTTCCACTTCTGGATGCCCAGTTTTGAGCCCTCGTGGTGCGATGGAGAGAGATGCTGAGCGCTCTGATGAGCAATATCATCCCACACAAGTCAGGGGGAACTGAATTTGTGCTTCACAAGCATCCTCAAGTCTGCTTTCCCTTGCTACTGTGTGCTTGACTGTGTAGTCACCATAAAGCTCTTTCACTGTGAAGTGAAAACAAATGTGGAATGAAAGAAAAAAAAAGAAAGAAAAAAAGAAACACATAATTATGAAGAATAATTAAAAATATGCACAGTCAGAAAAGTCAATTGAATGACAAGGGTGGGGACAGGGGAATATGATACAGAATGATCCTTATAGTCTTTGTCCATCCTTTACCCTTCACCTAAGTCAGCAGTGAAACGGACTCGTGATACTTCAGAAAGAGGATCCTAGATGACAAAGGACAGAAGAAAGGGAAGTCTCACTTGCATTCTGGTCCCAGGAGCGTGGGGTGTCTCCCAAAAAGTGCAGGGAAAGGAGGACGAGCCTGCAGTTCTGGTAGAATGGGAGAAGTTGTGTGGATAGCGGTGTTTGCGACGGCTTTCATCAGCTGCAATGGTGAGTAAATGCTTCAATGTATACGAACGAAAATCAGAGTACTAAGAGGGTAAGGAAAATCTTTTGAATTACAGTGTCTTAATTTTTAAAAAATATCAAGTGTGGAAAGACTTTAGTTTCTTGTATGAAAAAATAGTGCCTGAGAATTGACAAGAGTCTCCTTTGGTATCAGATACAACAAGGTGCTTTTAAGAGTGGAGCAAACAGGTCAGTATTCGGCAAAAGGACAGCTCCCATGCTCCAAAGCAAGAACAAAACAAAACCCTTGGAGAGGACCTGCTCTGGTGTGTTAGCTTCCAAAACAGTCTTTGTGAAGCTGGATTATGCATTATTCTATAATTTAATAATGCATCAGCATTGTTCTGCTAGCATGGTCCTGGGGAGAAGAGGAGCTGTAATTGCGAGACTAGGTGCAGGCACACATGATTCCCCTTGGTCTCTCCTGAACTGCTGACTCTCTGGGTGCACTAGGAGAGGTGATACTGGAATCTGCTTCCGTTCACATGTCCATGAGACACACTCCCAGGGCACGTATGACACGGACACCAGCAGAGGAAGGTTTTGGGAAACAGGAGAGAGGTGCTTTAACAAGTTGTATACAGAGGCATAGAATTGTTCCTCACATTTAGAAAAACAGGTTGAAGAATGTTTCCCATTTCATCGTATAAGAACAGCTTTGCAGATTTCTGGGATCTGCCTCTGAAGCAACTTATTTGGAATTAATGCAGCCGCACATAACCCATGCCTTTCTGTGGAGGAGGGGAAAGGGGGAGTGGGATAAGGGAGCATGGGCAGAGGTGAGCCAAGTCCAGCTAAATTCAGGTAATTTGCTACTTACAAGAGGCACTTCCCAGAGGAGCTGTGGTTTCAGTGGGCAGACAGCTGGAGAGGCTGGGAGAATGAGCTGGGTACTACAAAATCCTCTTCTCCTGTGCCCAACTGAGTGCTTGGCACGTGCTTAACTGATTGAACCAGGTATGATCCAAGAAATCTACGTCAAATCTGAAGTTCTCTAAGGCTGAAGCAAAAAGACTGGGTTTGGTCCACCATTCCTGTTCCACCCCAGTACTTCAGAACTGATCCCTAAAGGCTCCTGCCCACATGGCACTTACATGCCACCAGGACAGCTGGTGCTGGCAGGTTAAGAAGGATGATGCTCAGCCATTTTAGAAAATGAGCCAGAACATGAGAGTTCAATACTTTTTTCCTTTATCATGCGTTATAGATAACGCAGATCCCTCTGATCAGTCTTCTAATCCCTAACATAGCCCTTCAGGTTTTTGCCTGGTCCAGCTCTACTTCCCTCCAGTGGGAGAATTCACATTGTTTGTCTGGAAGACTGCATCCCAGTTTAAGAACTGTCACTGGGAGGAAATTCTTCTTTTAAAAATGCTGTCTCAGGGATTTTCATTTTGCTGAGTTTCTCCCATGCCTTCCAGTCAGCTCTCCTTTGGAGTCATCCCTGCTAATGTTGAAATTGGTCATAGGCAGAGTGCAGCTGCTCCGCAGGGAACCAGTGGAAGCTGGCAGCTATTTCATGGCACACACCAACACAAAACAATACAAGAGAGATGTTTAAACAAAATTGTGTCCAGATGAATATGCTGGATAGCAAACATACTTGAACTTGAGTGCACCAAATGCCTTGAGGGTATTTCTGAGCAGTCTTCTAAATAGCTTCCACCCTTCTTAGTTTTTCTTGGTGAGAGTCTGTGAAAAGAGGAAGAGGAGAGATGGAAAACCTTTAAAAACTGATACATCAAGGAACTGTTTGACTGGGACGTGAGATTTGCAGAATGGAGCTGTGTCTGACCTCTCAAAGTCATCCAATAGAGGAAACCCAAAGCTCCATGTTAGAAACAAGCTTCCACTACGCTCAGCCCCAGCAGTCCCCTCTGCTGTCCCCGTGGACACAGATCCACAGATGCTTGCCTTCCCCCAGCTGGCACATCGTGCTAGCTTCAGGACAGGCTGTTGCACAGAGGAGTGCTCCTCCCCACACAGCAATACTGCTGGGTCCCGTGAGCACCAGGAATGTTGCATAAAAAGAGTGACATTAATGAATGCAAATGTGTGGCATTCATTGTTAGTTGTAGTGAAGCAGTAAACTTGCTTTGTTCATCCTTCCTCCCATATAGAAGGCAGAAGTCAACACTGCAAGTGGTGTTGTCAGAGCATCCTGTGTCAGTGGGGGGAGGCCATTGCTCTTTGACTCATCATGTGCAAGTGTAAGTGGAAAGCCAAGCAGCAGAAGCAGGGTGTAAAAGCTGGGGATAGGGAGCAGGAACAAGAGATGCTGCTTAAGGTCTTGTGAAGACTGTAGCTGTGATGCTGCCACCAGGAGCAGCATTTGTGCCCCTCTGTAGCGAGAAGGAATTGAGAACTGGCAAGTGACCAGAGAGAAACAATAAAAATAGCCATGAGGTCGAAGCAACTGTTCACTTCCCCATGCTCAGTGAGGTGGGGACAGGCCCTGGTTTAGCTGGCTGTGGTCTACAGCACATCTAAGATGTGGCCACATGCTGGCTTCCACTGCCTGGCGATTCCCGTCTATCCTAAAGATGTTCTCCTCTTCTGCTGCATTCTTATTTCTTCCCTTCAACTGTTGTTCCCTGCAGCCCTCTTGGATCTATCTGGTGTCCACCAGGTCACAGGCACATGGATGGGATCCACCATTTTACCATGTACCTACATGCCCTCAGAAGATTTCGCACAGCAAACACTCAGCTGGAGCATGGAGCGAGACTATAGCACCTCTACCATCTTTCGGAGGGATGATTCTGGTGACCACGTCCTGTTGTCTCAGTTCCGAGACCGGGTCAGTGTCCCAAAGAACAGCCCAGGGAACGCCTCGCTCCTCATCGAGAATCTTGAAATCCCCGACAGCGGACACTACACCTGTCAAGTCATCTGGAGGTCTAAAAACAACAGCTTTATAACAAGGGAGGTGACCACTACGGTTAAAGTTGTCAAGGGTAAATCCAGCAATAAAGCTAGTCTAATCCACAGAGAATGTAGGAGAAGCAGGAGCTAGTGGGAATAGTCTTTCACATGATACTGTCTACCCACATCCAGGCTGGGTGTTGAGGTATCTTCCTCCCTTGCTGTGTTAGCCCTTCTTCTCCACTCGTGAAGGTGTAAGGATGGCCTGGGGAAGGGGGATCAGTTAGCACACATCCCAGTCTGGATCTACTGATGGGCCACTTGAGATGGGGGCCATATGGTGCTTGAGATAACATCCAGGTCTGGTTTTGGTTTTGTGCAGGTAGCCAGCATCTCTGTGGTTCTTGTAGCAAGTGGGACAGCAAGTGGGGTTGTGTTAGCCAAATCCGCCTTCTCCCCTTCCCGAGCACCCTCAGCGTGTGCTAGAAAGAACTGTCTTCCTGCAATGGGGGCACCCACTCAACAGAGCAGGACTTGTATGATGTGGCATAGCTGGTGTAAACCTGGCTTTAGGCATGGGTGAACTGAGCTTAACCTGTGCAAAGTGGTGACATGAGAGCAGTGCCCCTCTTCCTCCTGGGAAAGCACTGAAAGCCAAAGCAAGAACTGCCATGGCGGGGGGGGTGACCTGCCACCACAACCAGGACCAGCATGACCTGGGCCCATCTGCTTTGTCTTCCAGTGGCAGCGACCAAGCCCATCATCAGTGCCGGTGAGCTGGGGCTGATGGTCCCAGCAGGAGCCAGCACCAGCCTGAGCTGTGTGGCCAACGGGTCCCCCCCCATCAGCTACAGCTGGTTCAGGAGCACCCCGGGAGGGGAAGCCCGGCTCCTGAGCAGACAGGCCGAGCTGGTGTGGGACAGCCTGCGGCCCTCCGACACCGGGACGTACTACTGTGAGGCAGAAAACAGGGCCGGGGCCGGGGCCGTGCAGCAGAGCGACGCCGTGGAGCTGGTGGTGAGAGGTGAGTCCCCAGCTCCTCATCTCCACTGCACAAGGCTGCGGCAGGCAGTTTCCTCTTTCATAGCAGGATCAGACCTGTAATGCTGAATAAGAATTGTTTAATGATTGCCACCAAGAGGCCTCCACAGGGGCTGGCATCCTCCCTGCTTCAGATCGTGCCTGATCACGGTGGGGTCAGGAAAATGCCCTCTGGGGCCAGGACTGTGCAGGATGGGAGCCTGGCTCCTGGTAGGGCTGCCAGAGACCCCCAGGATGATGGCTGGGGACCAGCCAGGCCTGCCAGGGACCCCAGGGCAATGGCTGGGGATGTGGGGATGCCCGCAAGCCTGCTGGCAGAACACACGTAGGATGACGCGTCAGGGACAATAATCCAGCTTGTCGCTCCAAGAACAGGTCCAATGGGTGCTTTCTTTCTGTCCACCTCAGACGTGCTCCCCTGAGGGAGCCAAAGCTGTGTGCTCGTCCAAGTGGGGCAGGCAGCTTCAGGGCTGGTGGCCCCGGTGCCCTGCCGGGGGCGGTCACTGCCGGGGCTTCGCGGGGCGGTCACTGCCCAGGTTTCCTTTGTGATTCTGCCCGAAAGGGGCTGGAAACGCCAAGGCTGCCCTCGGCCGCGGCCGGGCTGGAGCTGCACCCGCAGCTTTCGCTCGGTTTTAAGGC